GTGGTCAGTCTTTTATACCTGATAGGATGGATGCAAAAACTACTGAACTAAATATTTTTAAGACGCTTTATTTTATTATAACAGGCCTATTGACCAAATTTTTGCTTGTCAGATATCTTTCACATCTCTTTAGAAATATTTTATCTTCTCTCAGTGATCTGAAAGGTCTGGGTGGCATCTGTTTTTATCAGCTGTATGTCAGTTCAATAGGTAGTTCAATTATGGTCTTTCAAAGATTAGAGAGAGATGAGCTTTAAAACACTGCCGCAAGCAGGCTTCAGCTCCCCCCATTAAGTAGCAGCCTCTGGTATTTAGCCAAAACAGTGCCTGCCATGTTGTTGGGTAGGCAGTAAATATTTTCAGGATAGTCCATTAATGAATAAAAGGTTGTTATCTTTTTGAAGACTTTGATGATTTATCAGGTGTAGGACCTACAAAATTAAATGATTTAGAAACTTAAGAAATCTGAAATTAATTTTCAAGGCCTATGAATGTTTTGAACAGTAGTTCTGAAAAGGCTGTAAAGAAACAGACTCCACTTACATGTGGGGCAGTTGTACCCACTTCTTTTTTCTCTTGTTTCCTTCTTTCAAGCCTATACTCCAAGCCAGTGATACCCATTGACTTGTTTAGATCTAATTAAGTACATGGACTTAATTGTTTTTCATTTCAAATTGAACAGCATTATACTTGAGAACTGGAGCAACAGGATCTAGTTCTTGTTATGACACTGTGACTATAAATGAGATTGATCTCTCTGAATTTATGTTCTTGGTGTGAAAGGAAAGATTAGAAGAAAAATCTTCCTGTGACTAGATCAACTATAATGGGTCTTTTTTCTGCCCCTCCCCCAAGCAGTTTTTGTTTTTTACCTTTTTTTGGTTAACATTAGATAATAGAAATTTTATAAAGGAAACTTTGGGTCTTTGACAGTCACTTTGAACATCTGTGTGTGACCAGTACTCCCAGTAGGAGCTGGGTAGAGTATAAAAGAATATCATGCAAATGTGAAGTTTAATATTGCATTAATATTTTAATGTACAGTTGAGCATTGCAGAAGATATATTTAAATGTCCAGAATAGGGTGATCAATAGTAACTCTTTCTGAGGCAATAAAATTACAGTTTTAACTTTATTCAGCTTTCAGGTGGGAGATTTGGTACTGATCATCCTAGATGAACGCCACGACAATTATGTATTATTTACTGTTAGTCCTACTTTGTATTTTCTGCATTCAGAGTCTCTGCCTGCCCTGGGTCTCAAACCAGGTGAGGGTGGTAAGTGTCATTCCATGACTAAAATATGAAACCTGGAGTAGATGGAATATACTAAAGATGTTTTTTCCTGTTGTGTAATTATATGAGAATAAGTCACTAAGAAGGAACCTTGCTTAATCTGTTTTTTATAAAATCTTCATTATCCAGATTATTTTAATGGATTTCATCAATAATTCAAAATTAGAATATAGGTTATGCGACGGATCAATTGATCAGAAAATGCAATGGTTCAGACATCTCATATCCTTAGCAATCACAGAATTATATGGTCAGAATTCTTATGTACAACCTAATAAAGCCTAATATATGCTCATTTGTTTATGAAGGCATTACCATTTTTTGGAAAAAAAANTGTTATGACACTGTGACTATAAATGAGATTGATCTCTCTGAATTTATGTTCTTGGTGTGAAAGGAAAGATTAGAAGAAAAATCTTCCTGTGACTAGATCAACTATAATGGGTCTTTTTTCTGCCCCTCCCCCAAGCAGTTTTTGTTTTTTACCTTTTTTTGGTTAACATTAGATAATAGAAATTTTATAAAGGAAACTTTGGGTCTTTGACAGTCACTTTGAACATCTGTGTGTGACCAGTACTCCCAGTAGGAGCTGGGTAGAGTATAAAAGAATATCATGCAAATGTGAAGTTTAATATTGCATTAATATTTTAATGTACAGTTGAGCATTGCAGAAGATATATTTAAATGTCCAGAATAGGGTGATCAATAGTAACTCTTTCTGAGGCAATAAAATTACAGTTTTAACTTTATTCAGCTTTCAGGTGGGAGATTTGGTACTGATCATCCTAGATGAACGCCACGACAATTATGTATTATTTACTGTTAGTCCTACTTTGTATTTTCTGCATTCAGAGTCTCTGCCTGCCCTGGGTCTCAAACCAGGTGAGGGTGGTAAGTGTCATTCCATGACTAAAATATGAAACCTGGAGTAGATGGAATATACTAAAGATGTTTTTTCCTGTTGTGTAATTATATGAGAATAAGTCACTAAGAAGGAACCTTGCTTAATCTGTTTTTTATAAAATCTTCATTATCCAGATTATTTTAATGGATTTCATCAATAATTCAAAATTAGAATATAGGTTATGCGACGGATCAATTGATCAGAAAATGCAATGGTTCAGACATCTCATATCCTTAGCAATCACAGAATTATATGGTCAGAATTCTTATGTACAACCTAATAAAGCCTAATATATGCTCATTTGTTTATGAAGGCATTACCATTTTTTGGAAAAAAAAATAATAGTTTTCTTAAACCATTAAATGTCTTTTCTATTGTAAAATGTCTTTTCTTTATCATCCCGTGTCTTTTCTTTATCATC